GGTTCAAAGGTGATCAATTGTGGCTGCCTTTTGCTGCCAACCCATGTGGTTGCCTTTTGGTTGCTGAAAAAATGAGTTTTCTGAACCAGGCTTGGTGTAGGAAGGCCAGAGGTTTCAAAACGTATCCAATGGGGCTCAAATTTGGATATGTTATAGTAGACACCCATTGGAACAATGTTTATGAAGAAAGTATTCCCATCGGAGCACTAGATATGTGCGGTTTAGGCCTTGCAAGTTGGCTGCCGAACAGAGACTGGAATTGACTTCATTTCATTTCTGCTTTACATGCATGCACATGCTTTCTCTATAATAGCTCCAGCATGTACCAACTTGCTCCTTTAGAATTTTATAGCTGGAATGCCTCCCTACTTCACTCATTATGTTGGGTACTAAGTCAGTTATAGCTGGGGTGAGGCACATGGCTAAAAGCTGGCAGTTGCAAATCCTCCTGAGCAGGGTTCAGTGTTGGATGGGCTAAGGACTCCAGCTATGTTCAATTGGGCTGAAATTGGGATATGTTATAGTACACACCCATTGGAACAACTTTCATGAAGATCTTCACCTCATCCGAGCCCCAGAGCATGCTGATCTAAGGCCAATAAGTTGACCTACGAAACTGGGCTGGCAAGGGTTTGTAGCCAAAATTAGTTTGTCTTTAAGCTCTTCTTCCATTCACCCAAATCAGGCCTTAACATGCATGGATTGCATCATTTCCTATCCAAAGCCATCATTGTTACCTAAAGCTCAATGAACTGAAAGATAAACACAAAAATGATTAAAAGCACAAGTTTAACTCAAAAACATAACCAAATCATAAGCTAGAAGGTACAAAATGATAAACAATTATGAACCGATCAACTGCCATCCAATACCGCAGATTACTCTATAGCCCATGGTCCCTCAGCGGTTGCTCCACCACCTCGCAGTCTTGTTGTCACTCGTTCGAAGACTGGCATTTTAAAGCCCAATCCTAAATACCAGGCAAACTTCACTACTCGGTATCCCGTTCCTCATGCTTTTGCTCCCTTAGTGGACATGAATGTTAAACCTACTTGCTACACACAAGCATCTCACTCTCCCAAATGGAGACAGGCCATGCTCGATGAATATAATGCACTTATTCAACAAGGTACCTGGTCCTTGGTCCCTCCCCATAAAAAAAAAATTGTGTTAGTCCTGGAAGCAAAACAACAAGAATAAAAACAAAAATAATTACAAAAACAAAAAAAAAACAAAAAAAAACAAAAACAAAAAAAAAGTAAAAATAAAACTCAAAACAATCTTTCCGAACATTTTCTGAAAAGAAATGACTCATGCACATGACTCAAAAGTTAAAAGCTCAATTTTAGACATTATTTACAAGGCGGCAAAGTTCAAAACACAACATGCTCAAAGTGTAGTAGTGTGATAGCCAAATGCAACAAATTCCCCAATCTTAGTTTTGACACAATTTCAAAAATCATACCAAGCACAAATGCAACTTCAAATCTCACCAAAGTTGTCCTCTCACAAATGAATCACTCAGAAGAGGGCTACAATGCAGCACTCAGTTATAAACATGAGATTAGAGTTAAATCATAAAAGACTTAACTCAAAATAGGAAGATGAAGAACTTGCATTAATATGATCTCAAGAAGGATGCCAAATACTTAAAATTAAGAAAATGCATGCAATTCAACAATATGACATTTAAGATCAATTTAGGTCTTTAACATAGGTTGTAATGGGGCCAATGGTGTAAGGTGAGTAAGAAATGAAAGGTATGGATAATACAAAGTCCAAGGAACTCAAAAATGTAAGAGCATAAAATAATTATTTACAAGACTTCGAATCATCATGATTAGATTTTTTTTTTTCTTTTACATGATCAAAACTCCTTATACCTTCATTTACATTGATTCATACTCCTTTCCTTTAATTGAACAAACACCAATTTATTTTGAGGCCAATAAGGAAACTAAAAAATGAAATTTTCAATCAACCACCACTTAATCACAGCTTTTTTTTTTTCTTTTCTTTCACCAATTGAGTGAAGTTTTTTTTTTTTTTTTTTCTTTATGTAATATCTCTTCCCAAACTTAGCATGAAAAACACATCCGAATTAGAGCTCATGAGTTCCTTAGAAAGGTAAATATTTATTTTTCGGGCTAAGGCAACGAAATATAATTGGTAAAATGAAAGAAAAGGTTTACTTGTAGGCTCAAAATGGTTAACAATGGAAAATCATGCTTAAGCATGCATAAGGTTAGCTTGAAAGGCACAAACGATCCAAAGAGGGCCTTAATATCACTTCTTAAATGTCATGAAATCAAATTGCATAAGAATGAATGACTTTTAAGTGTTCAACCAAATCAATGAATAATGAGATCAAACAACTTTGATGACAAGAAAATAAGAGTATGTATATAACACTCATGAATTGAAGTACAAGGCTCAAAAGCTCACTTTATATGGTTGGTTATATAAGTCTAATTTATGCTTCATACAATTCTTTAGATCATGCAAATCCTTTAATTGGAAAATTATGAAACAAATGGCAAGTGCAAAGAAGGTTTCGAACATATCATGCTAAAACGATGCCAAATCAATTAATTAATTTTTTTAAATTTTTAATTTTTTAATTTAAAAAAAATAACAATAAAATGAAATCCAATTTTTATTTAAGTCATGCAAACATTTATCACAATCTCATCATAAGTGTTCGGAAAGTGACTCAAAACAAAACAAGACTCAAAATAAAAACAAGCAAGAAATTAATTAAAATTAAAAAAAAAAAAAAAAAAAAAAACCAAATTTACTTGTTAAACTCCAATACCCCCAAACCTAGAAATGAACATTGTCCTCAATGTTTAAAATTTAGGCACAAGCAATGTCATAATAACAAATGAAGGTATTAAAGCAAATAAAAATCACAAAACACACAAGAATACAAAAATAAAATAAAATAAAAAAATAAAAAACGAAACAGTAAACACTCAAAACAGTAAGCCCTAAACAAACAGTCTTACGCAAACTAAAACCCAAACGATTGAAAGCCCAACCCAAAAGAAGTTAACCCACTTTTTATTTAAGATGACATGTGAATTGGGAGCGCAAAGGTGGGATTTTGAAAGGAGAGTATGTGGTCCCTGATGTCTCGGCTCCTGAGTAGTCATGGGAAAAAGAGGTGAGGGACGTGTCGGCGCGCAGAGGCCGCTTTCACATCCCTCAAGCTAGAATTATTGGCCTCTTGGGTGAAGCGGGACGACTTTTTCACTTTGAAGGTGGTGAAAGGTGAAAATGCAATTAAGGGGGGGTTGGGGAACGGGTGTGGCGACAAATAGAGATAAGCCGTAACGGCCGCGCAGAACTCAAAAGCGCAGTGGCTAGGGTTAAGCAGAAACTAAGTCTATAAAAGAGAAAGAGAAAGAGAAAGAGGGGGGAAAACACACAACTCAGAAACACACAAAAGAGAAAAGAAAGTGAGAAATCAATTGGCCTCTTCCTACCCATTTTCGTTGGATCTCAACCTAGCTCCACCGACTCAGACACAAGGCCAAGCAGCGGCACCAGTATGGATGCCCTACTTTGCCTCTGCATGGGGGCCTGTGACAGTAATTGACTCAATACTCCTGGACAACGATGTTGCCATTGGAGTGGCTAGAAATTTAGTGACTCCTAAAGATATACGTGTGCTGGGGACAAGGGATGACAACCGGGTCGTGAGCGATGCCCTGGCACTAAGCGTGCAAAGTACGGCAACAGTCGCAAGTTTGGGTCATCGCCTACTTGCAAAGTCCCATGAGGTAGAGGTGCTGAAAGGTCAGTTGGGGGCGGAGCGAAGTATGGTTGAAGAGTGTCAGAGTGATATAAAAAGTTTGAAAAGAGAGAGGGCAAGGATAGTGGAGGTGAATCGACACCAGCTAGAAGTATTGCGGGACGAGAATAAAAACCTATAAAAAATGGTAGATTTGTACTCTCGCGAGATGCGAAAGCAGCTGGAGGACCTAGACCGACCGGGTAAACGCAAGCAAGCAGATCGCGAGAGTAATTATGCTCAAGCTAAGATTGCGATCTTTGGGAGCTCAAGTGATGAGCCCCAAGAAGCGGTTCGTGAAGCCCCGGAAGAGGACAGCCAGAGGGCCAAACTCAAAGCTCCAATGGTCGAGACACCAAGCACCGAGAAGAAATGATTTCCTACTGCATTATTGTTGTTTTTATTTTATTTTGTTGTTTTTGTATTTATTGCGATCTTTGGGAGCTCAAGTGATGAGCCCCAAGAGGCTGTGCTTGAAGCCCCGGAAGAGGACAGCCATAGGGCCAAACTAAAGGCTCCTATGGTCGAGACACCGAGCACTGTGAAAAAATGATTACTACTACACTATTGGTGTTTTTATTTTATTTTATTTTTGGTTGTTTTTGTTTTTATTATTTTGTTTCGGAAATAAAAGAGTAAGGTTGCAGAAAGAAAAAGAAAAAGAAAACACACTTCCCAACTAAAATAAAACAAAGACGACAAACGGAAAACAAAACACATTTCCCTAACCAAAATAAGACAAAGATGATAGCTGAAAGGGAAAGGCAAAAACACAAAGCACTAGAAAATGAAAGTAACGGGCAAAAACATAAAACACCAGAAAACATGGAATTAAAAAGATAAATAAATAAATAAAGTGAAAGTAAAGGTGCTCCCCCTTGAAGTGATTAGGTCGAGCATGCCCGGGAAATCCAAAATGGTGTTGGCTCCCTCATCAGCATATGTCTATTTAAACCACGCGCTCTGCAAGCGGATGATACCCTGCATTTCTTCCTGCAAACTCAAGGAAAACCATAAAAAACATCCAGAAACAAAACAATGGCATTCTCACCTATGCTCATTGATGACCTCAACCTTGAGTTATCACTTGCACCACCGAATGCCTAGATAAGGGCTCCTCCAAACCCTGTCTTCCCAAACTCCACATATCATCACGGCACGCCTCTGCAAGCAGGTGCAACAAATAATTACTAAGCTGCTCACCATGAGAGCACCCATTCCTAGACTTCCTCTCAAGCTTTATCTAGCTGCAACAAACACAGCGGTTGGGGCTTTACTTGCTCAAGACGACCATGGTGGAGAAGAAGGCCCTATTTACTACGTAAGTAGGCAATTAGGGGGGGCTGAAACAAGATATCCAAAGACTGAGCTTTTATGCCTTGCCCTTGTCTATGCTGCACAGCGCTTGCGTCACTACTTCCTTGCTCATAAGCTACAGCTCATGGTGAAGTCCAACCCCGTAAGGTACTTGCTCAGGAGACCAGTGCTCTCCGGATGTCTTGCACGGTGGCTATTGCAGCTGTCCGAATTTGATATCACATGCACAACTCCTAGGGCCATCAAAGGACAAGCCGTGATTGACATGCTGGCTCTATTTCCTGAAGAAGAAGGACCAATTCTTTCAGAGGAGGTTCTGGGAGAGCTGCTGGAAACGGTGGCTGTTGTTACAGAAGAAGAACCATGGACCCTCTACTTTGATGGTTCTTCTACGTCAAATGGTGGAGGAGCAGGTGTGGTACTCGTCAACCCCGAAGGACAAGCCACGGCCCTCTCATTCAAACTAAATTTCCCATGTACGAATAATGTGGCCGAATATGAGGCATTCATTATGGGGTTATCTACAGCAAAGGAAATGGGCATAGAGAAGATCAAAATCATTGACGATTCAAATTTGGTGCTAAGTCAGTTACAAGGAAGCTTCGCTGTGAAGGAGTCAACATTAGCACCGTATCGCACAGCTGCTGAAAAACTTGTCGGTTCTTTCAAGCAAGTGCTGCTGGAACATATCCTGGGGGTCACTAATAGATACGCTGATGCTTTGGCAACATTGGGGTTAAAGCTCTCATTTATCCAAGAGTAGCCCAACATCACCGTGATAAAAAGAGATGTTCCGGCAGTTGAAGCAATGGCTCAGGAGGAGCCGCTGGAGGAAAAAGATTGGAGAAAATCTGTGAAAGAAAGTCTGATCGAGGGAAGCAACATCAAGGACTTGAAGGACTACGTGGTTATCTTCAGCGAACTCTATAGACGCCTGCCAGGAGGTATTCTGACTCGCTGCATAGGACTGACAGAAGCACAAAGAAGACTCCGAGAGGTACATGAAGCCACTTGCAATTTGGAGCCGATAATCAGCCTATATCGACGCCTACAACGCAAAGGTTATTATTGGCCAGAAATGAAGAGACAAGCAGCCGAAGTTCAAACCAATTGTCCCAAATGTGCAACGATACCCTCCACCGAAGAGTCATTCACCATTTCATTTGTGGAAGATTGGAGGGCACCATACTTGGCATTCTTTATCGAAGGAGTTCTACCAAGCAACATTAAGCATGCCCACAAGCTCAAAAAGACGCTAAAAAGATACTTCATAGATGGATCCACTCTCTATCGCAAAGGGTTTAATGGTGAACCTTTGAAATGCTTAGGAGAATCTGAGGCGCGGCAAGCGATGCAGGAAATTCATGTTGGAGAATGTGGTGAACACCAAGGGATGAAGAGACTTCATCGGCAGCTGTTGAATGTTGGGTATTATTGGCCCACCATGAAGAATGATGCATACAATTTCGTGAAGAAGTGTCATACATGTCAAGTCCATGCCAATTTAAGTCACAAGCCTCCCACATTATTGCAGGACATGCGTACTCCTTGGCCTTTCCACCCACCTTCTGATAGTTATATATGGATCCTCACAGCCACTGAGTATTTCGCAAAATGGGTTGAAGCAATTCCTCTCTGAAAGGCCACGGGGGCTGCCATTGCAAATTTCATCCGTGAATACATTGTCTGCAGATTCAGAATCCCATATAAGATCGTCACCGACAATGGTACCCCATTTGTTAACAAGCAAGTAAGCTCGACACTCAGTGGCTATGGTATCAAGCATCGTCATTCCACGCCATACTACTGTTAAGCTCATAATTTCATACATATACATGCCCAAATTTACTTACTTCTTTTGCTTAGTTTCTTATAATTTTGAGTTATTTGCCTCCCTTTGTGTGTTTTGTAGGCCAAAAGAGCAAGAGAGCATAATTCATGCAATTCAAGCATGTTAAGGCCTAATTTGGATGAAGGGAAGAAGAGCTTAAAGACAAACTCATTTTGGCTACAGCCCCCTGCCAGTCCAGTTCCGTAGGTCATATTGCAAGCTTTGTTTCAGCAAACTACATAGCTCGGATGAGGCAACATGATTCATGAAAGTTGTTCCAATTGGTGTGTACTATAACATATCCAAAATGCAGCCCCATTGGATAAATCTGGAGTCCGTTACCTAGCAAACACAGAACCATGCTCAGGATGGATCTTATCAGCGCGGAAAATGAGTTAGCAATTTGTTTCGGCCTTAACTTCTTCCTCCGACC